TTCGCCAAGCCGTGAAAGAGTAAATCTCATTAAACTAGACTTCGATACGACAAGGTGTGATACCATGGACAAACGTTGGCCCTTCTTGTCGTACCTCCACTGTTAGAGGATGGTCCTAGTTGTTGTTGCTCGCCGGGCACCACACCACCATGCACGGGCGACCACCAAGGGATCGCTGACGGCTACTTGATGGACTTTTATTGCTAGAGGGTAGCCATCCCATCCAATCGTAGGATTGCAACTGTTACCGGCCTCACGCTAATCGTACTGAGTTGCACTGACTATTTGTCCGTTTCCGGGAGCTAGTGAAATGGAATATATAGAAATCCGACCCTTTGTCCGTTGCTAGGAGCCGGTGAAATGAAGATATGTAGAAATGTGTAACCTTTTGTCCATTGCTGGGGGCTAAATGAGATAGAAATCTAACCATTTGTCCATCGTTGGGAGCTGTGTAGATAGAATAAGATCAGCTCGTTATACGGCAAAATAGGCTCTTTATCCAATGTTGGGAGCCAACTATGTAGCAGTAAACATCGCTGCAAATAACATGACCATCAAAAACGGCCAACCATGTTGCGTAGATAATGTGGCCGTGTCTAGCCATGTGTAAGGGAATGCTGCTGAAGTACAACATGTTTGTATCATTCTCAACAAAGTGGGTAAATGTCGTTCCTAGCAATATATAAGAGAATAATGTTGAGTGCTACTTCTGGCGATGTCGACTCCATTACAGCAATTAGTAAAAAATAGGAACTGCACACTCGATGTGAGAAGTGAACGTTGTGGGTCCTTACTGATGTGGATCCACACACGTCATTGGTGATGTAACCATATAAACTCATCCCTCAACAATCATATATAGGGACACCAAACTTTCACAGTATACTTGCATCAACAACTTCATGCCTGAAATTGCATTTAATTAACGACCATAATTAATTCAAGAGGGGGATTGTAATATCCCAAAATTTTGGGAATTTTATCAATTAAGTTGAGGACCTTTGTGTGAGAAATTGTTATTGAGGGGCTTAATAGTCAAATTTTCAAAAGTTGGGGGACTAAAAAGAAAGAAAATTAGGATAAGGATCAAGGCTGATATTTCTTTCCTCAGCCACGTGTTTTGCTCGTCCTCATCTTCTTCTTCTTCTCGACTCTTCCTCCCGACAGCCCCCCCCAAGCCCCTCTAGCCACCGACTCATTTTTTGAGAAAATTGGTGACCAAGCTTGGGATTTTCTCCTTCTCTTCTTGTTCTTGAACCCAGAAATCCCCCCCTCTGCTGGAAATTCCAGATATGCTCTGCTCTTCTCCCCTGTCCGCCGGCTGCTATGTGGGTTTGAATTTCTGGGCATTTTTCGGTCCGTGAGTTTCTTGCAGCTTGCCGCCGGCTCCTTCTTCCCCTGCTAGCTCCGGTTCTTGCTGGAAAATTCTGGTTTTGATCATTCTGTCACCGTAGCACTTGGGTTAGCCTTCTGTCCTGTGCGAGTGAGGTAAGTAAATGATGGTAAAGCCCTTCGATATTAAAGCATGTTTTCAATTGTTTTGAGATGGTGGCAAGGTTTAAATTGATTTTATCAGCATCTGAATGTGATTTAACCGAAATGAAAATTGTGAGGATTTTACTGATTTTCTGGAATTGAGCATGATTGAAATGAAAAGTGAGAATTTCATTGTTTTTCTGGAGTTATTGCACCGAGCATGATTGGTTTGAAATGAAACTGTTTCCATTTGTATTGAGTAGAACATGCCTGCTTGGAATTGATTGAACTGTTTTGATGAAATGAGAGTTTGCAAATTCTGAGTTTTCTGATAAATCCATGCCCACATGGAAATTTTCTGGTTATTTCTGAAATTACGGATTTTGATTCTGAATCCTGCATGATTTTGTCTCTGATATGGTCATGACTCCTGATCCCCGCTAGTGGGTGTGTAGCATCCCTGATCCCCACTAGTGGGTGTAACGCTAGCACTCCTGATCCCCGCTAGTGGGTGTGTAGCATCCCTGATCCCC